TTGATTATAACTCCCTGCACTCCTTGGAGGAATTTATGGCCTCTATCTTGGAGGCATCTTGGGCTGATAGTCTGATTTTTGAGGTGAGAGAGCCACTGGACATCTGTGGCTGCCCTTTCACTCCATTTTAACCAAGTCCCTTCCTCCTTGGTATGGCTCCAAATGACTTCTGCTATTGAACCTGAGAGACCTAGAAAAACTCTGTGCATGACCCTCTACAGTTTGTACTTTGCATGTTCAGAATTGCTAATGATTTTCTGAAATTTGGATTTCCATCCTTTTTTTTTTTTTTCTTTCTCCTTCTTTTAACGGGGAAGAGCTATTAAAGGGGGGGAATTTCTGTTGTGGTTATCAGAGGAGCTCTGGTTAAGGCTTCTGCAGGAGAAGGGTTTTGCAGTGAATTTGTTTGGAAGCCTTGGTTCCTGATAAAAGCTGCTCTGTGCAGATGGCTGTGGCCTGAGCTCGGTGTACTTTGTCCCCAGGCATGGGCCGTGGAAACAGGGAAGTACCAGGAAGGAGTGGATGAGCCAGACCCTGCCAAGTGGAAAGCCCAGCTCCGATGTGCACTCAACAAAAGCCGGGAATTCAATTTGATGTACGATGGCACCAAGGAGGTGCCCATGAACCCCATTAAAATTTATGAGGTGTGCGACATCCCGCAGTCCCAGGGATCAATCATTAATCCAGGTGAGGGCCCTGCTGCCACAGAGCTGCTTCCTGAGCAGGCATTTGTCCAACAATCCCTTTCCCTCTGTGCATTAACTCTCGAGCTGCCTTGGTGTGCAGCAGAGAGCAGCTGCCATGTGTAAGCCTGGGCTTAAACTAAGAGGACCTTGAACCATATTTTAATACCAGTACTAAGATGAATAAAGCTGCACACAGTTGTGTGCTCTCTGCTCAACAGTCTCATATTGGCAATACTGTATCTTACTTTATCTGTGTCTTACCTTATCAATACTTTATCGTTAGCTCTCTAGAACTATTTATTAAACTGAAAATATCGTGTTGTACAGATCACATTTATCCTTTCACTTATATTTGAAAAATACACAAATAATTATCCAATACTGTGCACAACCAATGTGAAGATTTTATTGGTTTTTTTTCAAGAAATGCATCACAGTGTTTCACGCACAAGAATGTGCTTGTTTTCAGGTTCCACTGGCTCAGCTCCGTGGGATGAAAAGGATAATGATCTTGATGATGAAGAGGAGGAGGAATTGAATCAATCTCAGCATGTCCCTATTCAGGAGACATTTCCATTTCTTAATATCAATGGTTGGTGGCACAGACTAATGTACTGTTGGGTCTATTTATTTGTAAATTGGTGCATGCTTGAAGTAAGATCTTGGTTTATTGAAGAACTGTTGCCTTTTTTTTTTTTTTTTTTTAGAATCTCCAATGGCTCCAGGCAGTGCAGAGAACTGCAGCCCTGAAGCTGTGTGGCCAAAGAATGAACCTCTGGATATGGAAATGCCTCCAACTGCACTGCAGCACGACTTCTTCAGCAGCCCTGAGCTCTGGATCAGCTCTCTGCCAAGTATGTGTGTGGGTTTGTAATAGTGCTTCTGCCCTTGCACTTTAAAAAAACCCCAGTGTTTTCACTTTTTGTCCTGTGGCTGTTTGCTTGTTTGCAACAACTGTGTAGAGTTTGAATGTTCCTGTGACTGTAGAGTGGGTTGCTGCAGTCCAGAAAGCCAACCCTGTCCTGGGCAGCAGGGGAGGAGGGGATTCAGTCCCTCTGCCCCCTCAGGTGAGACCTCACCTGCAGAGCTGCCTCCAACTCTGGGGAACAACAGCACAGCAAGGACATGGAGCTGCTGCAGCGAGCCCAGAGGAGACACCAAGTTGATGAGAGGGATGGTGGAGCAGCTCTGCTGTGAGGAAAGGCTGAGAGAATTGGGGTTGTTCAGCCTGGAGAAGAGAAGGCTTTGGGGTGACCTAATTTTGGCCTTCCAGTACCTGAAGGAAGCCTGCGAGAAAGAGAGGGACTTTTCATAAGGACATGGAGTGGCAGGACAAGGGGAATGGCTTCAAACTCACAGAGTAGGTTTAGATTGGATATTGGGAAGAAATTCTCCCCTGTGAGGGTGGTGAGGCCCTGGCACAGGTTGCCCAGAGAAGCTGTGGCTGTCCCATCCCTGGAAGTGTCCAAGGCCAGGTTGGACAGGGCTTGGAGCAACCTGGGCTAGTGGAAGGTGTCCCTGCCCATGGCAGGGGTGGAACAAGATGGGCTTTAAGGTCCCTTCCAACCCAAACCATTTGAGGATTTCTGTGATTCCATGGTTCCATGGGGTATCTCTGCTGCTGATGCTGAACATGCAGGAAAAGCCACAGTGACAGTTTCTCTCTCAGTGACAGACCTGGAAATCAAGTTTGAGTACCGAGGGAAGGAGACCGGGCCCACGACGACCGTGAGCAACCCGCAGGGGTGCAGACTGTTCTACGGAGAGCTGGGCCCCATGCCAGACCAGGAGGAGCTCTTTGGGCCCATCAGTTTGGAGCAAGTGAAGTTTCCAGGAACGGAGCAGATCACCAACGAGAAGCAGAAGATCTTCACGAGTCGGCTGCTGGACGTTATGGACAGGGGGCTGATCCTGGAGGTCAGCGGCCACGCCATCTACGCCGTGCGGCTCTGCCAGTGCAAGGTCTACTGGTCTGGGCCCTGTGCGCCTTCCTCCACCACACCAAACCTGATTGAGAGGCAGAAGAAAGTCAAACTCTTCTGTCTGGAAACATTCCTGAGCGGTAGGTAACTTCTGCTTCTGGGAAACAGCTTTGGGTGCTGGTCTGGGCACTGCTGGAAAGGGTTGGTCTGGGTGCACTGTTTGTTTTGCTTGTGTGTGGAGTGTGGGTTGGGACCACCATCTCCCTGACTTCCATGGAGCAGATGTGTGGCATAATGCTCATTTAATGCTCATTTAATGCTCTGAAAGACATTGGAGGGCCTTGCTTTTAGAAAAAAAGCTCTTTGGGTACCAGAAAAAATAAGTGATTGAGTATGTGTAAGAGGTGGCAAAGGACAGTGTGTAGGCAGGACCTGGGATGATACAGTGAGGTGGGGTGGGGTGTTTCTAACTGACAGAGGACAACCCTGCATCATTCTGCTTTTCTTCCTAGAGCTGATTGCCCATCAGAAAGGACAAATTGAGAAACAGCCACCCTATGAGATCTACTTCTGTTTTGGAGAAGAGTGGCCCGATGGAAAGCCCAGGGAGAGGAAGCTGATTGTGGTGCAGGTAGGAGCTGAGGCTCTGAGGTGACACGTACAGGGTGGTGTTTGGTCACAGGTTGGACTTGAGGATCTCTTCCAGCCTAGTTGATTCTGTGATTCTGTGCCAGCCTTGTTGGGTTTGGTGTGTTGTCTCTGGATCAGTGCCCAAGGATAGCAGAGACTTGTGGCTTCTGACACTGGGAAAACCCCAGTAGGGCTGGTGAGTTTGGGGAGAGCAAATACAAACATTACACGGGTCGGATAGAATCAGTCTGTGAGTGCTCTTTAGATCATTGTGGAAACCACCCCCAGCATCCAGAACGGGGGATTCCTGCAAAATAACGGGGATATTCTGTGTGCCACTGGCCTAAAACAAATGCCTTCCTCTCAAACAGGTCATCCCAGTTGTGGCCCGGATGATCTACGAGATGTTCTCGGGTGACTTCACGCGCTCCTTCGACAGCGGCAGCGTGAGGCTGCAGATCTCCACCCCCGACATCAAGGACAACATCGTGGCCCACCTGAAGCAGCTCTACAGGCTGCTGCAGAACCACCAGGAGGGGTGGCCCATGCAGGCCCCCCCCCTGCACATGGCACAGCCGCTCCCGGCGCAGTGACAGACCCCCGGCTTTGCCTCCTCCCCCGGGGGTTTTCTTTCTGTTGTACATATAGAAAAGTGTTTCTTAACCAGTGCCTTGCCTACACCTGAATAAACAAAATCTGTAAATCTGGTCATCTTGATTCCATAATTTCGTAGGTGCTTTTGTTTTGGAAGCCCTCAAAGCAGAGGGGATTACAGGAATGCTTCTGACTCCTTCACCCTTTTCAGTTGTTTGCTTAAGCAACCCCTGTGTATAAATCAGATTTTCGATTCTGTAATATTTTTTTTAATCTGCTATTGATACATTGTATATAAGCACTTGATCATTAGAGGGGGAAAAAGAAAATAATCTGCTCTATTAAAGCTGCCTGGAGAATATCACCTTGTCTAGTTTTTTCTCTTTAACTGGGCTGTAGCAGCCAGCTGGGATGCTGATGCTTCTTCTACTGTGCTTTTTTTATAGGGGTGTGTATACACAGGCACTGTAAATCCATATATCACAGAGTTTCTGGGGTTGGAAGGGACCTCTGGAGCTCATCCAGTCCAACCCCCCTGCCAGGGCAGGGTCACCTGGAGCAGGTGACACAGGAATTTGTCTTTAAAAAAAAAAAACAGCTCTGCAAACTCAGAGAAGCCACCTGGAGAAGAGAAGACTCTGGGAAGAACTTAGAGCACCTTTCAGTACACAAAGGGGCTTCAACAGAACTGCAGAGGGATTTTTTTACAAGAGTATGGAGCGTTAGGCCAAGGGGGAATGGTTTTAAACTAAAAGAGGGAAGATTTGGGTTGGATATTGGGAAGAAATTCTTCTTTCTGAGGACCGTGGCACAGGTTGCCCAGAGAAGCTGTGGCTGCCCCATCTCTAGAAGTGTCCAAGGCCAGGTTGGACAGGGCTTGGAGCAACTTGGTCTAGTGGGAGATGTGAGGAGGGGATGATACTTAAAATCCCTTCCAACCCAACCCACTCTGCGACTCTGTGAAGCTGTAATGTCACATCACAGCTCTGCGCGCTGGGCGATGCCTCTGGCCGTGCCCCCATCCCTTCCCTCCCCGAGCGCTGAGGTTTCTCCCTATTTCTGCTCCCAAACAGCCTTTTCCTTATCCACGGCTCCGCCCGGGAAGGTCGCTCCGCCCGGGGCCGTGCTTGGTTAGACCCGCCCCGGGATCGGGGCCGTGCTTGGTTAGACCCGCCCCGGAACCGCGGGCCCTGCGGTGTCTGCAGGTCCATGGCCCTCGGGGGCAGCGCCTTGTCCCCTGCGCTGCTGGTGGCGGCGGCTCGGGATGCTCTGGGGTCTCGGGATGCTCAGGGGACTCGGGATGCTCTGGGGTCTCGGGATGCTCTGGGGTTTCGGGATGCTCAGGGCACAGGGAGCAGGACAAGGCGGCGGCTGCCGGCGGCCCGTGCCCTGCACGCTGCCGGGGAGGTGCTGGCGGTGTCGGCGGGGCTGAAGCCGGCGCTGCTCTGGGACTGCGGGGCCGCGGGACCCGCCGAGCTGCGGCGGTACCTGCTCGGGCTGCGGGCTGCGGGGCTGGCCCCGAGCCGCCTCCACGTGCTGGGCATGGGGGGCTCGGCGCTGCTCCTGCACCCGCGGCTGGCCCGCGGCAGGTTGGAGGGGATGCTCCGCGCCCGCCCCGCGCCCTTCGTGGATGTCTCCGCCGGGAGGGGATGCCCCGCGCTCTGCGGGGAGCCGGAGGCCGAGGCCATCAAGGGCCACCTCGCCTCCCTGCTGGACCACCTGCGGGATGCCGAGGCCGCCGGCGCCGGGCCGGTGTCCTGCAGCGAGGTTGTGCCCGAGGACTGGAACCTGTGCCCCGTGGTGGGGGTGCTGCTGGGGTACCCCGCGGTGTACACCTTCTCCAGGGAGGAGAACTGCCTGGCACTGACACCGCTGAGGGTGTTCACGGTCCAGGCCTCCTGCCCCAGGATAAAGGACGGTCTCAGGGTCCAGATTTACTCCTTCAGCATCCCGGAGAGCCTCCACACGGAGCTGGGAGAGGTGCTGGATGCCTGGTGTGACGAGCTGAAGGAGGCATTCAGTGCACAGAGTGACTTTGTGGATCTCTGCATTTCCAGCGAGGTCGTGTCTCTTCCAGCAGTTGCCTTGTAAAACATGAGCAAACTTGGACTTTTTGGCCTTTCTTACATCGAGGACCGAGGCAAAAGATCCAGTTCCCCTGTGTGTGACCCACTGCATCTCTTGGCCCCTGAGCACCAAAGGCTGAATTGTGACAATCTCCTGACCTCCTGACCTCACGGGCCAGTGGCACAACAAATACATGTACTTTAAAGAAGACAAGCGTGTGGATGTGTGTGCTCACAGCTGCTCTGCAGCCTCAGTCCTGCCTGCAGATTGTGCCCTGTAAGGGTGTATTTATTTGCTGTGAGCAGCTGAGGGTGAATAAAAACTTTGAACACCACGGTACTTTGAATTTGTGAAGTTTGTTGGAGGCTCCGTGTTGTATTTACTGCTCATACGAGGTGGTGTCTTGCACTGGGTCGTAGCTGAGCCTCTGCATGAATGAGGGGCAAGTTCTGTAAAACCTGCACAGTGCAGCTCAAAAGGGGCTTAAAACCTCTGCCTCTCTCAGATTAATGTGGTGCTGGCAGTGAAAGGGAAGCAGGTGTGGCTGAGGGAATGCTTGGCCACAAGACAGGCTAGAAAAGCAGGATAGAACAGGGCCTGGTAGATGGGAGGTGGAAAAATTGCTCAGAACAGGTACGAGGGGAAAACAAGGGGACTGTGCTAAAGAGCCTCCCTGAGGCAGGTTTCTTTGTCAGGTACAAGTAGAGATGGTGCAGGTCAAAAACGTCCCATAGAGGGAGGCAGTAAATAAAGGAAGGGAATTTGGGGGGCAAAAAACCCAGGGAGGCTGGATCCCAAGGGTGTGGGATACCCTGTCCCTCCCTCCCTGTGTGAGACCTGTCAGTGATGACCAGACTGGCTTTGTCCTTCAGTGCCACGGGGGACAGGGCAGTGCAACCTTCCACTGGAACAGAGTAACCAAAGCAGCTGAGGGAAGGGGTGGTATTCCAGCATTTATTGGGAGTTTGTCTGGAGTGAGACCAGCTCAGGATGTGAACAAACGCGCAGGTACAAAACAGCAGAGGGTGCACTGCGGCGAGGTCACGGACTTTTGGGGAAGCACAGTCAGTTCCTGCAGTGAAGTCAGTCATCAGGGAGATCCTTCATGGCCTGTAACTTGCCAGGAAGGTGGCAATGGCCACTGCTGTGAGTGCCACCAGGAGGGGGATCCAGTGACCGCGCTGCCTCTGGGGGGAGAAGCAATTGTTAGTGGGAATTTCACAGAGTTAGAAGGGACCACAGGGATCGTCAAGTCCAACTCCTGGCCCTGCACAGGACCATCCCCAAGAGTCACACCATGAGCCTGAGAGTATCATCCAAATGCTGCTTGAGCTCTGTCAGGCTTGGAGCTGTGACCACTTCCCTGGGGAGCCTGTTCAGTGCCCAACCACCCTCTGGGGGAAGAACCTTTTTCTAATACCCAACCTACCCCTCCCCTGACACAACTCCAGGCCATTCCCTCGGGTCCCTTTGCTGGGGAAGAAACTTCTCATCTCATCCCTAGCAGACATGTCACTGATCTTTCCACACTGGGGGGCTTTCCCAGGCCGATGTGCAGCACTGGGGTTTGGGGCTGGGGACTCCCACCTTGGCCCGCTGGCTGTGGGAGCGGTTGAGCTCATCGCGGCACTGGCGCAGCCTGCTCAGGCACGAGCGGTACTCCTCGCTCAGGGCCTCCAGCTCCGAGCGCAGCTCCCAGCACTGCAAGCACAGCAAGGGGGGGTTACCGGGGGGGGTCCCCTCCCTTTTGTACCCAGGCAGCCTGGCAGGGCCCCCGCAGAGGCTGCAGAGCTTCACCCGCGCGCGGGCACCGCCCGGACCGGGGGGTCTCGCTCCTGCTGCCCCGGTGTCCACGTGTGCCTGTGTGTCCACATGTACCTGCAGGGAACAGAGCAGATCTCGGGGTTACTGGGAATGTGGTGGTGGAGGCAGTGCCCAGTCTGTCACCACCTCATGGCCTGCTTGGCTTTGCTGCCAACCTTCACATCCCACCGGAGAAAGGAGGGATAGCGATTTTTATGACCGGGAAGAAGACGTGCAGTGCAAACTCCCGTCAGGGTTTGCCTCTCATTCTGAAATTCATTCTCCATTTCACTGACCCTGACAGGAATCCCAGAGTCCCTTAAACCCTCTGAGACATGGGACACATGGGACAGGTAGCTTGGTTGTGCTGCACAACCCCAAAACCCAGGGAGGGCCCTTTCATGAAGGGCACAAGACCCTGCTGCTATTCTGATGAGCAGATCATTGGCAGCAGCTGTGGAAGGAGCTGCCTGTGCCCAGAGGCTTCAGGAGCCAAAGAGGGGCCCCCTCCCCAGCTGTTCCCTCTTGCTGTGATTGTGCTTTATAAACCCTTCCCCAGGGGGTGCTGGGTAAGACCTGTTGGTGCTGGTCTTCTCTCTATTTTGGATTAATGTGACAAGCTCTTCTCCTGTGTGGCTCTCAGCTCTGCTACAGTAAGTTATACATCATTTTTTATAAGTCCCTTTTTAATAAATCCTCGCTGTCTGAACACTGCTTGTGGGGCTGTTAGTTGGCAGAAGGATAATTTGATGGAAAGGAATGTGTAAAAGGCTGGAAAGGCTTGGATTTTTTTTTGCAGCCCTTGAGACTCTGCCTGTTATTCATATTACTGTTATTATTGCTAGCCTTTTTTTCCCTTCTATCTCTCCTTTGTGCTCAGGGTTTTGGTTCTTAATGTGGCTTTTCCCTGTGAGGTTCTTGAGACTCTTATCTGTGCCAACAGAAATGGGTTTGTGTGGAGAGGGCTCTACTGCTACAGCCAAGGGCTGCTGGTACCTTGTCCTTCCATGGAGGTGCTTTACTGGAGATTTAGGCAAGGCTGATATCAGGGCAAAAATTCAGCAGAGAGAATCCTTACAGGGGACACCAAATTTGAATTACCTCCAGGACCTTTGGTGTGTTGTGCTGCTGCTGGAGCTCTTAAACCAGCAACAATTCAGTGACTTCCTCACCTCATTCTCCTTTGCTGTGAGCTGGGATGTCTTTTTCTGCATCTCATCCTTCAGACTTTCTTCTCCCTCCTCCTCCTCAGGGTGCTCTAACAGAGTGTTTTGGTTTTCCTTGGCAGGAATGAGAGGTGGGGTCTGGGTGGTAAAAACCTGGTCTAGAAAACAGTCAGGCTGCTGATGAGAAACAGGTCCAGGCTCTGGGTTTGCTTTAGATCTTGTTTACTCAGGAGTTTAAGGATAATATTTACATGTTACACACACAGCAGAAGGCACAGGAGCTCAGTTCGTTATCACAGGCCTGTCTCTGCTGTAGCTACATGTTAATCATATTTAGAGCAATCTTTCTCAGTAGTTGCCAGAAATGGAGGGGAGGGAGATTTAAAATGCATTTTATTCCTTTTTTTTTTTCCAAGTACAGCTGTAATTGCAATTATAAACTGGAATGTGTTTTGTTTGGGGAAAAAAAATGGCATAGCCACTGAAGTAGAATTTGTAATGAAATCCATTTATTTTTAAAGTGTTTGCTGTCATAAATACATTTCGGTTTTAATGTTAACTAGCAAAATGTAATAACTCGTTTTGTGCAGCTCTAAAAAATAATCCTTTATTCTAAACCAGTGTAGACTTCTCCTAGAGTCAGGACTAACATTCTTGTGTCCAGGGAGTGCTAAGTGGGGGTTACAAAGTTTGCTGACCTTTCCTTTGCACTGCCACCTCCTGGCTCTTCTGTTGGTTGTTCTGGATCAAGTCTGTGAACCCAGAAAGGCACATTATTGTCCACAGCACCTACAGAGGCCTCTTACCTTGTGCATCTCTGTGGTACTCACTGTGCAAATGGCTGACTGTTGCCTCCAGCATTGCCTTCTGCTTTTGCTCTTTTTGCAGTTTGTCTGAAATAACGACAGAAGGAAATCAAGGTTGGTGTAGATCTCTGTATCTTTGTGCAAGGATGGCAACTTTCCCCTTCACCACAGGTGTAAAGTGGAGCAGATATTGTTGCCTACACCAAACTTTCTTCTCTGAAGGGATGTGATTTTTAGCTGTTCATTGCCCTTTTGGTTTTGGCAGCTTTTTCCAGCGTGCCTTACGTTCTACTAATTTATGGTTTATTTTAAAGCTGTTTGTGTGAGACTTGTTATGAAATTAGAACTGCCACCCATTTGCTATTCCTTAGTCATGTTTTAAAATAACCACATGAAGTTTGCTTGTCTCTATCCAAAGCAGTGGTCTAGGACACTATTAGCTCATATTTATAGGCTGGTAATTCCCACCACAAGCAGCACCTCAGACAGTAACAGGCATTGCATTGCTGTGTTTGATGGGTCTGGAAGGATGCAAAGCCCTCATCAAAGCTGAGAACTCGGCTTTGATTTATTTTTTTTTTTTTGTTCAGGTCTCCCAGGCCATCCTTTCTTCTAGGAAAGTCACTTGACTTCTCTGAAGTCCTTTAATCTAGTTGGAAATGGCTTTTGGGGGCCCTTTAGAAAGCAGAAGCTGAGGCGTGCAGCGCATTGAAAGCCAGTGGGTCTTTTGTGTGTGTGTGTGGCTTCAAGGACCAGAATTTCAAGAGTACTTCCCTTATATCCTCTGGCACTCTTTCCCTGCACACAATACCTTCGATGGCAGTGATGTGCTGGGCCTTGAGGTCGATGTCCTGGCTCAGGGCAGTGGCTCTCAGGTGGAGCACGGCGTGTTCTCTCCGCAGGCTCTGCAGCGCCTGGTGCAGCTCCTCGTTCTGTGCCTCTGCTCTCTGGGGCCAGGGGAGAACCACGGCGTGGGTTGGGATGGAGAGACCTTAAAGCTCATCTTGTTCCACCTCCCTGCCACCTTCCACTAGCCCAGGTTGCTCCAACCCCTGTCCAACCTGGCCTTGAACACTCCAGGGATGGGGCAGCCACAGCTTCCCTGGGTGACCTCCTGTGTGGAGGCTGTTCCTGCAGGGAACCAACATTCCTGCAGGGAATTACCATTCCTGCGGGGAACCAACCTACCTGCAGCTCACCCTGTAAAGTGTGGAAGCTGTTTTTGAGCTCGCTGTGGGCCGTGGTCACCTTGGTGAGTTCGGCTTTGAGGGCAGTGTCATGCTCTCTCCAGAAGGCAAGGTCCTCTCTCGTCGCTGCCAGGCTCCTCTGGGGGAGAGAGCAAGGACCCCCGGGTGGGTTGGGACCCACAGCCTGCTGGGACCATGGCAGGCTGGCCTGGAGACCATCAGCTGGGCTGGGCTGGGGCACTGCTGCCTCCTGCAGCACCAGGGATGTGTGTGTGTGTGTATATATACTTGATGTGTGTATATATACTTAAATATATATGTATATATAAATATATATATAATAATATATATTTAGATTTATATATATTTATA